CCCACTATAGATGCTGTTAGCATGTCCCAGGTGTGACAATCAAAAATGTCTCCAGACACTGCCAAATGCCCCTTGGGGGGGCAAAACTGCCCCCAGTTGAGAACTGCAGACTTGGACCAAATAATTTTTTGGCTGAAAGATGAGTTTGTCTTCCCAGAGGCCAGCAGAGTTGCTTATGGGCAACGGACTCCACAAAGTGATAGAATCACGCCCTCATCCTTCAGCTAGAGGATGTAGGACCCAAGCTGCTCCAGTGCCCCTTTCAGAGATCTCCAGGATTAAAAGGACACTGGGGTGAAGGCTGGGCTGGGGGAGGGTGTCAGAAAATGGATTTGTGGAGGTGAGCTGGGCCCAGGTCATTGGACTTTATGCAAGGGATGTGGTTAGGTTTTAAATTTATTTATTCATGGCTGCATTGGGTCTTTGTTGCTGTGCGCGGGCTTTCTCTATTTGCGGTGAGGGGGGTCTACTCTTTGTTGCGGTGCGTGGGCTTCTCATTGCAGTGGCTTCTCTTGTTGCAGAGCACAGGCTCTAGGCACGCGGGCTTCAGTAGTTGTGGCTCACGGGCTCTAAAGCACAGGTTCAGTAGTCGTGGCGCATGGGCTTAGTTGCTCCGTGGCATGTGGGATCTTTCCGGACCAGGGCTCGAACCTGTGTCCCCTGCACTGGCAGGCGGATTCTCAACCGCTGCGCCACCACGGAAGTCCCATGGTTAGGGTTTTATTTGTTTGTTTGTAATTCTGCTGTGATGGAAATCCTCTGACTTCATTTTAAAAGCTCGCTCTGGCTGTTGGGTACAGAACACAACGTTTGAGTCAGAAATAGAAGCAGAGACCAGTGAGGATTGCCTGCTGGTTGCCAGGTGGGAGATGACGGGGACCAGGACTTGGATTCAGCTGTGGTGGCAGAGGTAGAGAGAGGCGGATGGGTTTAGGGTCCAGAATGACGGCTGTGATGTTGCACCAGGTGGACTGGGTGAGGAGAAGAGAAGAATCACTTCTAGCAGCTTTGGTTTTAGCCTCGATTGGTGATACCCTAACATGAGATGGGGAAGACTGAGAGGAACAGGTAGGGCTGGGGTGAGGGAGGCAATGTGGAAACCAACAGGACCATTTTCTTTCATTTATTTTTTTAAAATTTTGCTCTCAGCCAGAACCCTAATCTCTCTGAGCATCAGTTTCCTCAACTGTGAAATGAAAAGAAGAAAGCCTATTCTCACAGGCATGCTGTGCCCACTAGGATCTTTTCAGCTGCAAGTAACCATGGCTTAACTACTAAGGATATTTAATGATCTCACATAACAAGATGTCTTGGAGGTAGGTGGTTCCGGGTGGGTTTGGTGGCTCGGCAAAGCCACCAGGATTCAGGGTCTCTCCATCCTTTTGCTGCCTCTCCTCTTGCACTGGTTTTCCATCTTCAGACTTGTTGCCGTATGGTTGCCAGAAGCTGCCATAGCCATCACATTCTCACTCAGTCCCACACAAAGATAGGAACAAGTACAGTAAACAGAGAGGCTCTCTTCCAGTAATGAATGTCCCTGGCCACACTGACTGTATCAAAGGTGGGCCCATGACCCATCCCAGGCCATTCAGAAAAAGCAAAATGGAATTCTTGTTTAGAACTCCTGATCTAACCCTGAGGATATACCCTCTTGGTGTTGGACTGGAAGCTGGAAGGATGTTTAGCCTGGAGCTCCTTAGGATCCCGCACACAGAGCCTGCCTAAGAGGAAGGCAGGGCCTGTGGGACAATATCTGAGCACCTGGATGCAGCCATGCCTGAAGCGAGACCAGACAGTAATTGCCTTTTCAGTTACGTAATCCAGTATATTTCCTATTTTGTTTAAGCCTATGTGAGCTAGGTTTCTCTCACAGTTGAAGGAGACTTGACTGATGTAGCTTGCAATAAGAGTTTTTTCCTTCAATTCTAGGGTCTCTAGAGATAAACAAGTATATGAAAGTCTTAGTCAATGCAGGCTACTACAACAAAAATACCATACACTGAGTGGCTTAAAAAATAAACATTTATTTCTCACAGTTCTAGAGGCTGGATATCCGAGATCCAGGTGCTGGCTGATGTGGTGTCTGGTGAGGGCCCACTTCCTGGTTTGCAGATGGCTGTCTGTCTTCTCACTGTATCCTCACATGCTCTCTTTGGACCACAGCGAGAGGAAGCAAGCTCTCTGGTGTCTCTTCTTACCAGGGATTGAACCCGCACCCTTGGCAGTGAAAGAGTCCTAACCACTGGACGGCCAGGGAATTCCCTGCCCTACCTCCTAATACTATCACATCGGGGGTTAGGATTTCAACATACGAATTTTGGGGGGGACACAAACATTCAGTCTATAACAATGACTTATTTTAGTAAATACAAAGCTTTCCACAAAAGTTAGTTTAAAATAATAATAATAAAAAATTCTAGGGCTTCCCTGGTGGCGCAGTGGTTGAGAGTCCGCCTGCTGATGCAGGGGACACGGGTTCGTGCCCCAGTCCGGGAAGGTCCCACGTGCTGCGGAGCGGCTGGGCCCGTGAGCCATGGCCGCTGAGCCTGCGCGACCGGAGCCTGTGCTCCGCAACGGGAGAGGCCACAACGGTGAGAGGCCCGCGTACCGCAAAAAAAAAAAAAAAAAAAAGACTAAAAAAATTCTAGAGCAGCTTTTTAATCTGGGGTGCAGTGCAGAGGAGTCTTTCTTAATTCAGATGGTGCAGGTGGTATTCAGGTAGTTGCTACATTATGCTTTTGTACTTACAAATAATCATTGTGGCACTGCTGTTATAGAAAAGAGTAGAACCATGTAAATGGCGATAAGTAGGTCAATGGTTAAAAACATTAAGTACAGCTGTATACTGAAATACTAGGCAGCTATTTTAAAAAATGTGGTAGGGAGCTTTCTCTAATACTGATGATAGGGGTCGATGTCCAAGATGCATATATAAGTGGAAAAAGCAGATAAAAATCAGTGTGTCTAATATGCTTCATTTGTAGCAACCAATAAAAAAGATGGTGTGAAAACCTTTGCTTGTGAATGTATACAAATCTCCAGGAAGATAAACAAGAAACTCACAGTGGTGCCTGAGATGGGATGGGAATCGGTGCTTGCAGAAAAAGAGAAGCAAATGTTTTTATTGCACAGCCCTTTGTACCTTTTGAATATTCAATCCCGTGAATGGACTACCTCTTTTAAATAAATAAATCACATACGTGCAAATGACAAAAACCGACAAGCAGAAATCACAGACACCAAAACAACACAGGATTATCTAAGGTATTCTGACCCAACAAAATTGAAACATTGGCTTGGAATTTGGCTCAGACTTTAAGTCATGTTAGGGAATTAGGCCTTCCTAACAGAATCCACTTAAGGAATATAATGCCTTCCACGGATTTGGGGTTGGCCCCGATGTTCCAGAATCACTTCTGAGCTCTGCTCTGAGTTTCACCATCATAAAGGTGTGCAAAAGACAGACACATCCCAATGTCTCTGTGGCTTTCCCTGTGTGTTGGTAGTCACAATGATTTGTTTTGTTCCTTTGTACCTTTTTTAAAAAAATAACATTTTTGTGCTGCCTATTTGGTAATGAAGAGTGGGAAAAATGAACGCTGTTTAGAATTAATGTAATGACGAATAAATTCCAAGAAAACTCAGAAAAGGTCTTTAAACTCAACGAAAACATAAAAAATAAAAAGAGACTTCCGCCTGGCTCTTGAGACTGTAAGACGTCTTTTCTTTTCTTAGAAATATTAAGCTCCCAACAAGTAGATTAAAAACTTTACCCTCCGGGGCTTCCCTGGTGGCGCAGTGGTTGAGAGTCCGCCTGCCGATGCAGGGGACGCGGGTTCGTGCCCCGGTCCAGGAAGATCCCACGTGCCGCGGAGTGGCTGGGCCCGTGAGCCATGGCCGCTGAGCCTGCGCGTCCGGAGCCTGTGCTCCGCAACGGGAGAGGCCACAGCAGTGAGAGGCCCGCTTACCGCAAAAAAAAAAAATGAAAAAACAAAACTTTACCCTCCATTAAATCCTAAAACAGTGAAAGTGAATGATCCATCTCCCCAGTGTCACGTTTCCGGACGGGGCAATGATTATGAATGTCTCTTGGATCTGACGCTCCATTAAGTCCTGTTAGGAAGAATACTTTTCAGCTCCAAGACACAATTAATATCTTACTGGCAATGGCATTCTTGAATAGATGACTGGGATTTTAATTACACTCAAGCAGAAAGTAATACTTTCTAGGGCTGGGTAAAAACACTCTTCGGGAGTAAAGTTGGGGGCCATAAAGACTGGGGATTACTTTAGCTAGTCATTTGTAACAGGTAAATGGTTGTGTTTTAACTTCCTGGAATTAGGGCTGGAGAAGCAGAAGAGGATATTTTAGGAGGAGGAAGGAGAGTCCAGCTGAGGGAGGGGAAGGTCTTTAAGAATTTTTCCATGGTTGAGAATTCATAAAAAACAAGAGTATTGATTATAAAAAGGACAGAACTTCAGGATTAACATTTCTACAAGTCTGTAAGTTATCCATTCATGTTGTTTACCCAGTGCATTAATCGTTACTATAGGAAAGGCAAGCATCTTCCCAAAAGTTGGTGAGATGAAAAACTGGAAAACAGTCACCAAATCTTCAGATGACTTGCACAGTCTAGCACAGTGGTTCTTTTTTTTTTCTGGCCTCGCCGTGCAGCTTGCGAGCTCTCAGTTCCCCGATCAGGGACTGAACCCGTGCCCTCGGCAGTAAAAGCGTGGAGTCCTAACCACTGGACTGCCAGGGAATTCCCTAGCCCAGTGGTTCTTAAGCAGGGGATATCTCACACTGTCTGGAGATATTTTTGGTTATCACAGCTGGGGGGGTACCTCTGGCATTTAGTGGTCCAGGGATGCTGCTAAACCTATATGCTTTTTGTTACACTATGTACACCATTTTATTTAATTAATTTATTTAATTTCAATTTGAAAGCAGTCACTGTTTATTAACTGACCAGATTACAAAAATAATCATGGTAGATACCTTAGTTCATCCTTCTAATAAGCCTGTTGATCTGGTCTTCCCTGTTGGGAGCATCTCCACCTTCTACAAAATGGGTGGTCTTTTCCTTCATTCCACCTCGTGGAGAAGACAATTTGAAGGGCCACCGGAAGTTGTTTGCTTCTTTGAAACGTTTTCCAACAGTACAGATCTCATGAATCAGATCCTCCATGCAGATAATACTGTATTTGCCAAGAGGTAGAGCAATCAACACATTATCTGTTAGGGCAATTCGCTTCTTGCTGAGTTTGCCATAATCACGCTTGTAGATCAGTTCCTTTACTGACTTCAGGTCTGGGTACTCCCACGCAACGTACGCTTCCGCAATTCTCAGCATGTTAACTGAAGCCTTGTTGAGCTTCACAAAGGTGCCACTGAAGATCTGATGGAGGTGAAGAAGCTGTAACACCTGTCGAACCCTTGGGCTCGCACCGCGGATACCTCTGATCCTGATGACAAATGCCAATTTGGGTTCAGTGGGTACAAAGAAGCTGCTGGCTTTTCTTGCCATCCTAGCCATTCGAATTTCAGTTCTTATGTACACCATTTTATACCTGGACTTCCTTATTTACTGTATCTTCAAGTTTGTTCCATATCAGGATGGACCACACTATGTTATTTATGTATGTTATAAATACATATCTTGTATGTTACAATTATGCAAGAAAACCCACTTATTGTCTTCTCTTTTAATGTATCGATCTCACTAATTGCTTTATATAATTAAACTTTTTTCCGTAAAGCACCACCTTTTCCTTGAAAATCCACTTCTCGAACACCGGATGCTACATTTGTTTGCCAGGTCACATCACACAATAAGAAATCTTGGAAGAACTACACTTAATTAGTTCTCTATTTTAAAAACGTGCACGCCTCCTTTCCTCCCTCACTGGGGTTGGTAACATATCTAGAAATGGCTGGATGGACCTGACGAGACCCCCAGGTAAACTGAGTGTCCTAGAGGGCACGTTGGCCTCCTCAAGTTACTGGTCACTGCTAATTAGTTTAGAGAGTATAAACCCTTCATATTCTCAAATTCCTTTTTCAAAGAAACAGGAGGCTTAAGTCACCACAGATGTGAATGATGTCATGAAGGGGGACTTCAGGAGGTGCAGTCGAAACCGTCTAAAGCTCGCAAGGCAACGCAAAGCCACTGGCGTGGCCCTCCGCTAATAGAATTTGGCCAGGACAAGAGCCATCCAGCTTGTTCCTCCAGGAGCTCAGTGCCTCTAATAGATTCTGAAAAAAACATGCCTTTTGTTGTTTCAGTTCGGGCTTAAGAAAAAAGAAAGTGAAAAATAAAGTTGGAAATACATCTTTTGTTGGAAATTTGACCATTATATTATCATAGGGTATTTTCCTTACTTCGATAAAAGCGGTGATTTCGTAAAACTTATTTTGTTAATTCCCTTCGTTGCTTTCCTGGTTACATATTCGCTATATACATTAATTCCACAAAAAATGTATGGAGGGTCTACTTTGTGCCTGGCACGCTTCCAGGACTGGTGATATAGGATGAAGAAGGCAAACAAACCAAAAATCAAGCATTACAAAGCACATTCCATGGAAAGGAAGACTACGAGCCCACCCACTCCAGAGACCACGGGTTCCTCCAGCGTTTTTCCTTCCATGCCTATTGCTAACATATAATATTTTACAGTGATGGGGATTTCTTGTATGGATATGTATATACTTATACAGACATACAGATATTCACAGTAACGTCTGTGAGGGGAATAAAAATCTCCCAAATAACTGATTTTAAAAATATTCCTGTTTATCTTTAATCTGCACACATTAAAATTGCTGACGCTCTGAACCATATTCTACATTGAAAAGAATTCTCTGCCTTTGATTGTGGGTCAATGTTGTCACGTTTATAGGAATAAAAATGACAGCGATTATAACCATCATCATAGAAGTGAAAATGCTCCATTACTGAGGTCTGGCCGCATGACAGATACACTATAAAGCATGTTTATAATGTACTGCATTTGGGCTGGCTCTGGAAATCACACAACAGCCCTGGGAGGCTGGGTGAGATCCAGCCCCAGGTGGAGATGAGCACAGGAGGGGGGGTGCCAGTGGGGGGGGGGCTCTGAGCAAGTACTTAGCAGCTCCCAGCACAGATCTGCTTGGCTTCTAAGTGCCACATTTCCCACTCTAATACCATCTAAGCAAGCAAACAAGCATCCACAAAACCTGTAAATCGACACGTAGAATACTAGGCTGTTGTTTGTCATTTTGATGGAGCAAGCACACTAGAGAAAAGCAGGATTTCTAAGTCTCTCGTTCTGTGCTGTCACTAGAGGGTGACTCTAGGTGAGTCGAGTCCCCTCGCCTGGATACGAAATGAGATGAATATTCAAAACATGGATCCCAAAGGGGTCCTATCCTATGAGGATTAAGCCAGACGGTGCATGTGAAAAAAAGGAAGAAAAAAAATCTGTAAATTGTAAAGTGCTTTCTAAATCTTAATTATCCTGTTGTGTTTTTTTTTTGGTGAGATTGTCTCATTTTTTATTGACATGCAATTCACCTAACATGAAATTAACTGTTTTAAAGTGTATAATTAAGAGGCATAGCTCACTCGTGATGTTGTGCAACCATCAAACTATACTATCTTCATGAACATAAATATATACATATGTCGCACGTGACAATGTTGGGCATCGTTCTTTGATCCTTTAGTAATTTAGTGCCCCTCAAGGACACTAGGCTCCTGCAAGAGTCTCCCAACCCCTAGGCCTCTAGCTCACACAGGGTTTCCTGCCTCTTCTCAATCCTGTCATTGAATTTCAAAGCCTTACAATTGCACCCAACAAATTGCTATGGGTATTTATTCATGGTCTTTGTGATATTTGCTGTTTTACAAAGCCAAGTGAATGTCTGGGTCTCTGATTGGCTACAAAGCCAAAAATAAATCCAGGTAACACGATAAAATTTTAATTATAACCATCCTTGGTTTTCAAGACACCCAAATACTGGGTAATTGTACACAAACTGAAAACAACACCCCTCCACTCCCAACCCTGTCTGGTTGCTGGAAAGTTCTAGAAATAAAGGTAGGGCTCAACAACATTTAAGACCTTTGTACAGAAATACAGAAGCCAGTTCAAAGCCTTTTCCATATCTGATAACTGGAGCTATCATTTCTTTTTAAATGCAAATAAGTTACTTCGGGTATTATTAGAAAAAAATTAAACAAGATTATTTGCAGTATAGTGAAGGAAAATTACTTGTAGCAGTGATGCATGTTTCCACAGGGATCAGTCCTGTTTTAATTTCTAGACTGGCAGTTCTATGGATTCACAAATAAAGAGAGGCCCTGGCAATTTCTATGAAGCCACAAACAAGCCCTATGTTTCTGTTTCTTCTGATGAAATGCTCTGGGTCAGGCAGTGTGTTTGTGATCACACCAAAGTAACAGCATCCAGTTCAAAGGGGAGGAAAAACAATCTTAACAATGTAAGAATTTCCAAAAGTCCAAACATCCCTGGCCACGGTTGCTCCCGCAAATGGAAATGGTGTCAGATCTGCATAATAATTGATCCTCCAGATTTCCATCCACAAAAGAAGGATGTGGTCAAATAGAACAAACAACACCAGGGACAACAGAGGAGCCTTCTTGCTAACTTTCCCCTCCCCTCCGCCCACTAAAGTTTAGCAACCGACATCAATTTCAGCATAATGCTCAAGATACAATCACGGTTGAGGTTTATGGCATGTTATGAAGAGCAGGGGGCAAGCACATCTGCGCTATTTTCCTCCTTGAGATGTGAGCTGCTGATAAATATTCACTGTAGAGGTTTTTCCATAATTCTTTGATTCTTCAAAAGCAAAGCCATTTTGGGAGTCTAAGTTTTTTGCTCCTGACCCCACAAACACGACGGGGAGGGGAAAAAAGAGTGAAAATGAGGGAGAGTAAGAGAAAAAAGGACAAAAATTTTTTATACAGATAAAAGAAATTAGGCGAGCCATAAAGTCTGGGCTTTGTTTTAACTGGGTTGTAAGGTCCTGCTGTGCTGCCCATAATCCAGCTGGGAGAGGGGCCCCTGCTGGGTGGCTAATTAAAACAATTATAAATACAAAGAAGGTATCAATGGCATTCCAAGACTCAAACAAAAGAGATAAAGCATTGAAGATTTAAATTGTCAATGGTCAATCTCTCTTCAGGGGATTCTGAAGAGGAGTCCATGTCCCCAAGACCCCCCAAGTCCTTTTTTATACTGACTTACGTCTGGTTACTTGGGACCCTTCCTTCTGTTGGGTTTACAGACATCAAAATATGTCAATGATGGAATTAAGGGAAAGTATAGGCACGAAAAGACTCCGATGTCTTAGCATGTCAGAACAGTGGATCTGAGTTTAAAAAATAAAATCCTACATGGGGGAAAAAGGCCCCTGCCCCTCCTTTGGAATAGCTATTTTCAAAAACAAGAAAACAGAAAAGATCTTGAGACTTTTTGCCCCAATTCAAAGTGACAAAATGAAAGTCAACGTGAAATGTGATTAGAGGGTTTTTTTTTTTAAAGTACTGTGGGCAATTTTAGGGATGCTGAAAATGTAGCAAGTGTGCTAGAATATGACTTCAATGTATTTTTAAAAAGTGAGTTGCAGAATTAAACGCACTCCCCAGCAAAAGTGAAAATCTTTCTTAATTTCTTAGACCAAACATTTTTTTTTTTCCTTTCTGGCTTTTACAGGTTGAACCCTAAAAGGAACACTCAGAAGTATAATAACCTAGAGTTGCATAAATTAGTTCTGATTATGGTAAAGATCCTAAAAAGGTGTGAAACTGAAAGCCACAGGCAAGAACTAATTTATGCAACTGTAGGAAAATGTCTGATAGTTACAAGGCAGGACAAAATAAGCGTCAGATGTAGATTCAAATGTGGGATGAGCAACGTTCCTGATTCCTTTAAGGAACAGGATCCAGATACTGCTCTGCAGGCGTCTGTAGTGCTGAGACAGTCCCTCACTGCACTTTCAGAACCTCTCGGGACTCAATCCCAGAGCAGAACAGGTCGCAAACGTTTTCAGGGGCGTCCCTCGGGGAGGGTGGTCTGTTTGCTCTCATGAATGGGGTCTGACCACTGAGAGCCTGCACTTGGGGGTCGGTCAGCGGGGCTTCAGGAGAAAGACCCCAAAGCTCCGATTCGCTAAGGCTCACCCTTAAAAGGAGCAATACCTCTTTCCACCCAGAAAGAAAGTAACGGTGTAGCTGGTGAAAGCCTGTTAAGGAGGAAGCAGTTAAGGTAGAGGCAGCAGATAAGGACCCAGTGGGGGTCAGAGCCCAGAGGCATCCTCTCTCACTCTCCCTTCCCAGCTCCTCCCCTACCATCCCTCTCCGCCTCCCCCTTCTCCGTCTGTCTTATTTTGCCTCCAGTGGCGAGGGGATTGAGTCTTTCTTTGGGGTTATCAATGCCCTCCCATCCTTTGACTTAGTGTTATTTCTTCCATCAATTAACCGGAAGATGTGTCTCTTTCCCAGTGTCAAAATAATATCAATGAAAAGGTCTGAGAGACTGAATGGAAACGTTGGCCCAAAGCA